GCTGACTTGCCAGTAATTTTCTTTTTTTTTCCTCTCCCCCCATTGTAAAAGCAAGTTTGTTAAATGTCACAATCGTATTTTTATCGTCCCAGCTCACTGATAGCAATCAGTTTGGGGAAATAAATGCGAGCAGGGGACAGTTTCTAGGTTACTGCATTCTCCAAAGTCGCAGCTCTCTCTCTCTCTCTCTCTCCCCTCCTCTTGGAATAGGCAGATGTTTGGCAGAACAATGGTTCAGGCCAATTTCCACGGATTTTATCAACTTCCTAAAAAGCAAGGGATTTAACACCAAAGTAGGGCTGCAATTGGAGAGGGGAGAGAGGTACATGCAAGCAGGGAAAATAATAATAATAATAATAATAATAATAATAATAATAATAATAATAATAAAGTACATGGGACTCATTTGGGAGCTGGGGGAGGAGGAGAGAGGCTGGATTGCATCCTCACACACCGGCTCCCTGCCCCAGCTCCTAAAGGAGATTCCTTCTCCAGCTCTGCAGCAACATCCTCCTGTCAGACCCTCGCATTAATATTTGTGCCTGCCAGACGTTAAGTTTGTAAGGACAAAAAAAAAAAAAAAAGGAAGGAAAGAAAGAGAGGAAAACATAAAAAAAGGGAAAATATAAAAAAGAAGAAAAGGGGGAAAAAAAGGGAAAAGAAGGAAAAAAGGGAAAAGAAACTAAAAGGGAAAATAAAATTAAAAAAAAAGGAAAAGGAGGGGGAAAGGAAAAAGAGAAAAAGGGGGAACAGAAGAAAAAAAGGGAAAAGAAGAAAAAAAGGGAAAAGAAGAAAAAAAGAAGGAAAAAGAAGAAAAATCATCAGCAGAGCAATCTGAGACAGTTTAAGACATGAGGGCTCAGCTCCAAGCCCTCCTTGCTGGGTGTTACCTGAGTTCTGGGCTGCCACCCTGGGCTTCCTGGGGCTCACAGAGTCATTCTGCTCAGCTTCGTAGGATGCGGATGCACTGATCACCAGCAGCAGGAGAAAACCAGACTTTAGGAGCATTCTCTGACAAGTTTCCGCTAAGTGTGGGGGGTTTTTTTTGGGTGTTGTTTTTTTTTTTTGGTGGTTCTGTGTGTGTGTGTGTGTGTGTCTCCTCTCCCACTCCGGCTCGAGCAAAGACGTGGATCTGGATACGCGCTCCCAGCCAGAGAGAGAGAGACACGGGGAGGGAGGAAAAAAGAGAGAGAAAGGGGAGTCTGCCGAGCTCGGGATGTGCTGGATGTGGCGCAGGATCCGCGTGGCCCCTCCGGCTCCTGCTCGTCGGGGGACCAGGAGCAGCCCAGGGCTCTTTTATAGCCGCCCTTATCGGTCCCCCCCGGGCTGCGGAGCCAATCGGCGGCGCTGGGCAGAGCCAGGGGAGGACTGGACTCATTCAAGCCCCACGAAAACTGCAACTTTCGCAGGGAGGATGTTTTCCAGCCAATTAAAAAGTACCTGCCAAAGCAACAATAACCGAAAAGTTAAATCTCTGGAAGGAGCGCTGGGAAAGGGAGGAGAAGTGGGGAAGGAGGGGTGGGGTGGAGGGGGGGACGACTTCCTATGGATAATTGAGCTCGAGGAAATGACAGCGCGCTCCTAAATGTTCCCCACCACCACCACCACGAAAGAAAAGCACCTGCCCTTGCGGAGGAGCTGTTTTTACCCACCCGGATAGCTTGGCAAGGATCTTTCGAACAGCTCCCCCCCCCCTCCTCCCCGAGGTGAACACACACGTACCTGTGTGTTCGTGCTGCTGGGGAGGGAGGCATCACCTTGGCCGCTGCCAGAGCACGTGTGTGCAGAGCTGAGCCCGCGGACTCACACTCTGCACCTCACGTAGGCACATGCAAATACCCCCCCCCTCCTCCTCCTCCTCCTCCTCCTCCTCCTCCTCCCTGCCCAAAACCTGATTCCTCGGGTGCTGCCTCCTTATCTCCCCTCTCACCTGCGTGAATGAAATC